TGGGGATTTAGCTCAGCGGCAAAGCGCCTGCCTGGCAAGCGCAAGGTCGTGAGTTCGGTTCCCGGTACCGGAGAAAAACCAAAAAAAAAAAAACTCACTAATCCTCCTGCCTCAACCTCCCCAGTACTGGAAATACAAGTGTGTGCCACCAGCCCTGGCTCATTATACTATTATTACAACTCTATTAAATATTATTTTTTTTTGGTCTTTTTGAGACAGGGTCTCACTATGCAGTCCACTCTGGCCTTGAGCTTACTTTGCAGTTCAGGCTGCTCTCAAACTTGCAACAATCCTCCTGCCTCAGCCTGCCGAGTGCTGGGATTACAGGCATGGGCCACCACACCTGGCTTTTGCAACGTTATTATTTAAAAGAACTATTGACAGATATTAAAAAATGGCATTTGAACTTAACTTTTTCTAACTGTAGGATGGAAGATTTGAAAAGCAACTGTGTAAGCATAATAGGAGACATGGCATTGTACTTACGTCTGTAGACTTTGAAGGTCAAAAGGCTGTTGTCTTTCTTTGTGTTTTAGTTCGATGATGATCCAGCTGTAAGTAAAAGGACAAAGACAGCTGTCTATAACTGAGTCTTCAGGGGCTGGGGATTTAGCTCAGCGGCACAGCGCCTGCCTGGCAAGCGCAAGGTCATGAGTTCGATTCCCGGTACCGGAAAAAAAAACCAAAAAACCAAAAAAACCCCAAAAAACCCCTGAGTCTTCTACGTGATCTTCCCGACAAGCTCACTGTAGTTCCCAACTAGAATTACAGTAGAGCTGATGGAGCAGGCATTTTTTCTGTGGGGGGGGGGGTACCAGGAATTGAACTCAGGACCTGTGCCTGCCAGGCAGGCACTTACGCCTCTGAAGCTGTATCCCCAGCCCCGAGAGCAGGGATCTTGCAGTAGCTGTGCCCGCGGCGTCCTCTTCACTCGCGCTCCCTGCAGAGAGCGCCCTCTAACCCTGACCTGCTGGCCTCCAGCGGTCACAGCTACAGCACATGAAGTCGAGGTAGGCGGGCCATGTTGCCCTCTGTTCAATCAGAAAGACAAGGGCAACCGAAAGCTAAACGAGGCTCCAAAAGATTTTCAAACTGGAGAGTGCAGCCTTCGGGTCTGACCCTGCCAGTAAAGGTGGCTTTGCCTAAACTGGCTCGAGGGCGTTCCCCACCAAATAGTCCCAAACACCTGTCACCTTTTCTTTTGGTACGGGAAATTGAACGAGGGCTTTACTACTACCGAGCTACATCCTCAGCCCTGTCTCACTTTTTAAACACTCGAAGTAATCCCAGCCCTCAGGAGGCTGAGGCAGGAGTGCCACATGAGCTCAAAGGCCACCCTGAACTATATTAGAAAACCCTGTCACAAAAATACGACTATATATATATATATACACATACACATATATATATAGCTTAAGTTACTCACATATACTTAACATTAATCAAACTGTAAAATACTGGATTGCTAAGTGAAAACATGAAAGGAAAGTTCAATCTAATATGCTTCCAGGTACATGAAAGAGAATACCTCTACATAGTAAATTCACAATGTGCCTGCGGAAGTTTGGGAATAAACCGACACCCTCAGTTCCATGGAGCACACTGCGCGGGGTCGGGGGCTGGGGGCGGTTGCACTCTTTCCTTTCCTCTGATCTCTAAATCACAAATCCCATTACTACCCCAAAATACCAATCTGAGAAGCACGCCAAGCGCCACGCCAGCGGCCCACTCACTAGGTCCGCACAGTCTCGGGGCACTGGATCTCGGAGTCCTTGTTGGTCCTGCGGACGCCGGCGGTGTTCACGCACCAGCACGTGGCCGTGCCGTTGCACTGCTTGGCTTTGAAGAGCCCGCGCTCGTCACAGTCGGGGTCGTACAGCCCGTCGTTGTTCTGGATCGCCCCTTCAGGCTTCACCCTCCTCCCCGACTTGGAGTGCATCATCTCTGCCTTCATCACTAAGCATTTGGAAGCCACTGGAAAGAAAAGCTCAGTGTCAAACTGCGAAATAACTGCAGTGCCATGTGTGCAGGGGACAGACACTTCTAACTCCTTACTCTCATTCCAAACATTATTTCACACTTCTGCCTTCCCGCACTTTATTAGTTGAAGGAGCCTCAGATGTGAGATTATTTTGACAAAATGATACGACTCAGATTTGGCCGATAACACCCTTCCCCATTCAAGGCACATCAATTAAAGTCTACTATGGATATACAGATTTAAAGGCAGGAGAACACTTTACTCACGTGTCGTACAAATGACAGTGTTCTGTGCACCATAGGAAGTACACTGGCACTGCCCGTTTTTGTTCACGAAGCAGTTTGTGGTCATCTTGTAGCTTTCACACTCACACCCTAGAAAATTAGGACATATATTTGAAAATGTGGATCCAACGATCAACTCTGATGTCCCTGCTAAACTATGTTCAGAAAATAACGCCCAGGTTACAAGGACACAAAGCCTTTAGAAGTGGTCCTGGGCTGGGTGTGGTGGCGCACACCTGCAATCCCAGCACTCGGGAGGCTGAGGCAGGAGGATTGTTGCCAGTTCAAGACCAGCCTGGGCTACAAAGTGAGCTCAAGGCCAGCCTGAACCGCACAGTGAGACCATCTCAAAAAGACAAAAGGAAAAAAAAAAAAAAAAAGTGGTCCTGAATGTTTTTTCAGCTATAATTTAAGCGCTTCCTAAAGGCAGTTTATAGCTCAACTGCCTGGCACTTTTTAAACAGCTTGCACACATTATATAGGCATACGCTCTAACTTGTATGTATTCCATTTAAATCTTGGTAAACAAGTTTTTAAAAATGTGGACACCGGACTCAAGATCCCACACGCGTGCTCTACCACGGTGTGTCACTCAGCCCTTCAAGGTCACCGCGCTCTGCCTGTGATACTCCCACTTTCAGCTCTACTCCTTTGCCCCGTCCTCTGATATCAGTAACTGGCTCTTTTCCTGCAGTTCCAGTTCTAGAACCTGTGAATCCTCAGGTCCTTTCTCTCCTCCTCCCCTTTCTCCTTTTTTTTTTTTTTTTTGTTGTTTTTTAAGATAGAGTCTCTCTGTAGCCGTGGCTGGCTTCAAATTCCCAGTGATCCTCCTGCCTCAGCTTCCTGAATACAGCTACCATGCCTAGCTTCTCCCAGTTTCCTTAAAGGAAGCTTGCTTTGTGGGTTAGTAGGAACATACCAACTTTTAGAATATTTTGTATCTTTCATTATACATACTTTAGACTGAATTTGGGGGCTCTTTGTATGTTTCCTAATTACATGGAATCATACTATGTGATTCTGAAAGTGATACTGAGGAGAAAAAGTGATACTAAGCACCTATTCTGAATATTGACATCAGTTTAAGAGTTTTACTCTTGACCACCCCAGAAGATTAACCTCAAATTGACAAGACCATGCCATCCATTTTATCTGGGGATTGAATCCAGAGCCTTCATACCGACCTTTCAATTTTTTATTTTGAGACAGGGTCTAAGTCACTAAATTGCCCAGGCTAAGTGCGAACTTGCAATCTTCCTGCCTTAGACTCCCACATCACTGGGATTACAGGCTTGTGTCATCAAGTCAGGAAAGAGTGCTTTTATTTATTTGCTTATTTTTTATTTTTTTGGTTTTGGTTTTTTGACACAGGGTCTTGCTATGTAGTTCAGGCTGGCTTCAAACTCACAGGGACCCTCCTGCCTGCCTCAGTCACCCAAGTGCTGGGATTGCAGCTGTGCTCCACCATGTTCTGCTACCAGAGTGCCATTATTTAAAAACAAAAGAACTAGCAGGAGTCCAAACGGATGGAAACTAGGTTGAGGAAAAGGGGGAAAAAAGAATAGAAGAAAAAAAAAATGGAAACAAAGCTTTTGCAAATAAGGAAGGGAAAGGTCAGGTATAAATTCCCTATGATGAATGTAATCGTTGTGTATATCTAAATTGCACCAATAAACTTAAATAAAATAAAATAAGGAAGGGAAGAGGAGTTGAAGGGAGGGGAGGGGACTGGAAAAAAAAGAATAATCAAGATCTATCATGTATAAGTCAAAATTCCCGGGGCTGGGGATTTAGCTCAGCGGCACAGCGCCTGCCTGGCAGGCGCAAGGTCGTGAGTTCAATTCCCGGTACTGGAAAAAAACCAAAAAGGAAAAACAAAAACAAACAAACAAAAAAGACTAAGTACTTAGCTTCAGATTCAAGCTACAAAATACAAGCCAATTAAACTTCACTACTCTGAAAGTGTAATGAATGTAGGCCTCCCCTGTTGGTGGGAATAAAAGCCTTTCCAGAGAGCCGCGGCCAATTCTCTCCACTTCTAGGTACTTCCTCACAAATTAATTAAAAGACCACAGCCAACGTGTCTAGTCCAGAATGAGAAGTGGAATCAAACCACTGTTCTTTTTTTTTTTTTTTTTGAGTGTCTGGCCGTGTAGGCTGGTCTGGAATTCGCAGCAATCCTGCCTCAGCCTCCAGAGTGCCGGGATTGCAGGTGTACACAACCACTCTAGGCTTTCAAAGTGCTTTTAAGAACTAATGGAAATGGAAAATTCTGGATGTTCCGCAGGCAGGAAAAATTAAAATACAAGCCTACATGTTTAGGTTTAGGGCAATGTCTAGAAGAATGTCTAAAAGAAAAATAGACCAGGCATTAAGGCTGGGACTCTCGAGACGGTGGGATTACAGGACTTTTCCTCCTCACGGCTGTCTGTATTTCCGTGTGCCCTACCTTTTACCTGGCATGACTCACGCTTCTTAGAAAAAGAGAAACCCCGGCCCGGAAGCGCGGTCTCCGGAGGCGGGCACGGCGCGCAGGTGCGCGGCGCCCGCCCAGCTACCTGTTCCCGCCCGCGGCCAC